ATGTCGTATTTAGGCTTTTTTCCGGGGGAAAGTCGACTTTCGCCAAAATGGAATTTTTCCGCCGGGTGAAAGTTGATTCTGTATTTTCTGGCCCGCCTAATGCCCCTGCGCCCCTCCCTTGCCCCAGAAAAGCAGAAATAAAAATTTTTTTTTTTTCACCCCGAGTCCAAGTGTCGTATTTAGGCTTTTTTCCGGGGGAAAGTCGACTTTCGCCAAAATCGAATTTTTCCGCCGGGTGAACGTCGAATCTATATTTTCTGGCCCGCCTAATGCCCCTGCGCCCCTCCCTTGCCCCAGAAAAGCAGAAATAAAAATTTTTTTTTTTTCACCCCGAGTCCAAGTGTCGTATTTAGGCTTTTTTCCGGGGGAAAGTCGACTTTCGCCAAAATCGAATTTTTCCGCCGAGTGAAAGTCGAATCTGTATTTTCTGGCCCGCCTAATGCCACTGCGCCCCTCACTTGCACCCAGAAGTCCACACTCATCACCCCCGAGATCCCCTGCGCACCCCGCAAACCAAACAAATAAAACCAGAAACCCTAAAAAAAACAATAAGACTCTCATCTCCGAGAAAAAACGAGTATTAAATTTCCGTCGTTTGTTGTTGCAAGCATCTGCCACCAATATCCCCCAGCAATTACGTGCAACATCTTGCCACCAGTTCACCAGCCCACACTTTTTATCCCCTGATCACACTTTCAAGCCCACCACAGCATGAGAGAACAAAAGGGGAAAAAAAAATACAAAAAATAGGGAAAAATGAGTGGATGGAAAATAAAGAGAGGGAGAGAAACTGTGGAAAGTAATATCCCAGAGGAGGAACCACAGGAGCCACTGGTGTGTTCCGTTGATTCCATTGGCTTGGATAGCTTTCAGGAGCACGATGCCATTATATCCTGAGACAATAAATGAGCTTTCGCCATATTCCGAGCCGTTGATGGCATTATTCGTATCTCGAAGTTTGATTTACTTTCAATCTCGCCATGGATAAGGGAACAAAAATTCAGTGTCGTTTTAGGATTCATTGTCTCCTTATTTATTGACGCTGGAAGATGCCTGGGCTTCTTAAGTCAATATTGTTCCTAAAATTATCATCAACAAGTGGGAAAAGAATTAAAATAATTGACAGAATAATTGAAGACATTGATGACTGAAATTTCCAATGTCTTAAAATTTACTGTTTCATTTTCTTCCAATTTAGTGACGTTCTGAAATTATTGAGAGGGTTGAAAGGGTGATGAGGGTGGACGATGTCAAATTAATTTAAACACCATCGCAATATCAGAACTGCGTCAGAACCTCAAATATTATTCTAACGAAAAACAAATTTTCATCTGTAATTTTTCTCACTAAAATTCTTTCATTACTTTCCTCATTTCCTTCAAATTCTTCTTCATGACCGTCATTTCCAATGCAACTAAAAGTGGCAAGTGAAAAAATAAATGAAGTAATTGGAAAAACGCTTAAGTCTGAAGAAAGAATCCTCGCGTAAGACACCTAAAACGTTCAGAACGCACGTGAATGGTATTTTAAAACACAAACGTCTTAAAAAGGACACAAAAGTGCCTCCACTTCAGCCACTAGTTTTTCTAGTGAAGGCGAAAGGAGAAGAAACTCGGAAAATTAGAAACAGAGACAGACCTAATAGTTAGGATGAAGCATTGGACGTAATAAAAGTTGATGGGATTTTGGGGTGAGATGGAAAGAGCTGGAAAAAAAATAAAAAAACGCTTGTTGGCGTCCGGGAAGTACTGGTTTTAATGTTCCCCTGGTGTAACTGCATATTGGCTGTATTCCAGTGTTGCCGATACGACGGCAAAGTTTTTCCCCTTTTTTTACGGTTTTTTCAAAGTTTTTGGTGTTTCAATATTCTCGCTATTCCTGGGTATTTTGGTGTCAATAGGACGGGGAAAATTGGGTTTTATTGGAGCGTCTTGAGTGCACTTTTGCGGTGGAATGATCGAATTATGTAATTTAGTTCTTTGTAGGAGTTTTATGGGGAATTGGGTAGGCGGAAGAGGCGGGAATTTTATGACGGGAGTTTATGGGCTTTTTTGCGCGAGAAAGGTTTGAAGATGAAATTATTTGATAAATTATTTTATATTCCATTTTCAGGGCCTGGGGGAAATTTTCGACCCGATGAATGGTAATAGTGGGCAATTGCGAGTTTTGGAACTGGATAATTCTGAGATCGTGAAACGGTTTTGTGGAGAATTTTATTTTAATGGAATCCCTGAGGTCATCGCATATCAAAAAATTTCATACGCTCGATTTTTAGTCAATTTTTCATATTAAAAAAAATACCTACGTGAACTTTTCTGATTTCTGTCCCTCTCCACGAAATAATTGAACCGAAATTCAGTTTTTAAAAATGTTTTCATTCAATTGTCAATTAAATTGCGTGTGAAAAATTTGGAAAAAATCATAAATATTCAGCGGTTTGGAAATTCCATTTTGCACAGAATTATTATTTTTTCAATCATTCGTTGTTAATAAATAAATAATTGACATTGTCTAAACTTTGGGAAACCTTATTCTTTTATACATGAAATCGATGTCTGGTAAAATGAATAATTTGTTATGATTCCGAACAAATGATTCTTATGGTAGAAAATTGATTGTTTATAAATTATTTATAAAAGAAGCTCGTAAATTTAAAAAATGTCATTTTCTAATTATTGCATCAATCTTCCTCTAAAAGTAAACTTTCGAATTTTTTGTCAATATTTGAATAATAAAATCATTGTAAAATTTCTCGACTTAGGGTCAACTGGGGCTCAAACAAAAGCTCTGATCTAGACTACAAAAGTAGAAAAGTATGTCCAAAGAAATTTCCTGGAATTTCCGTGGAGCTGTCACTTGAAAAAATGTCCGTAAACCCCGTTAACAATGCGTGAAAATTAAAATCACCCAAAATAAATTCAAAATAGAATGCCCTCATCCCACCAATGACTCGTAAAACCCCATAGCCAACGCCAGATTGATGTTCCCCAGGTCTATTACACCGAGTAGTCCTGCTAAGTGGCTCGGCACTGAGCCCCTGGGCAACAGTTCACGATCCGAACGACCTGAGGGCCCGAGTTGGCGAGCAATTGGGCTGTTCAATGGACAATGAAGATGATGATATTGCCGATTGTCTGCGCGGTGTGCCACTCAGTGTTCTACTCAACGTCGAGCTCCCAGAGATCAAGTAAAATCGATGATCCCCGAGAAACAATCCCCTCCGAGATTACACATCGCCTTTCCGCCGGGCGCCCAATTGTCCCCGAAATAACGTATGGACGATCTTCATTGCAGGTTCATGCCGCGTGTGGGCCCAGCACTGCCGGTTGACCAAAATAATCCAGATCCTGGATTGGACATGGAGCGTGCCAGTGATGCCTTTATCAAAGTGCCACTGATACTCGGGGTAACTACCGCCGAGGCATGCTTTGACTTCAATGAGAATGAAATTCAATTTGGCATTGAGGAGGATCAGCGCAATCGTATACTCAGGACGTACATCAGAAATGCCTACTACTATCATTTGAATGAGATATTCTCCGCTGTACGCAATGAGTACACTGATTGGGACAAACCGACGCTGCATCCAATTAATATCAGGGAGTCGACGATGGAGGCTTTGAGCGATGGACACACCGTTGCTCCACTCGTCAGAATTGCGTTCTATCATGCGAGGAGGGGAGCGCAGACCTACTTCTTTCATTTCAGTTATCAGACGAAGGACAGCGTCTATCCTCAGGTAATTAGTGGGTTTTTTGTGTAGTTGGTATTGATTATTGGGCGGTAGAGGGCCATTGGAAATCGCTGGGGTGGTGTGATTCTTGTACTTGATTTTTTTCAATTGCGCTCTTCTTTTGGGTCAAAGACGAAGAATAAAAAGCTTTGGATTCTATTGGAATTTTTTTTTGTGTTTATTTACAGGGATTTTCTTTATTTTTTTATTTCTATTAATTTTGATGGAATAATTAATCTAAAAGTGACAATTTCTATTGATTTTAGTAATTTTATAATTTTTTTGTTAAAAAAAATAATGCAATTTCAAAGCGACAAATTCCGCTAAATTCCAAATTAATCAATTAATTTGAGATTCAAGAATATATTCACCCGAATTATCCTGATTTTCATTCGTTTTCATTAGACAATTACACTAAAATTGACAATTTCCATGAGCTTTATCAATTTTCCGATTTTTTTATTGAAAAAAAATGACAAAATTTCAGATTACACTAAAAGTTTAATGAAATTCAATATTCTTCACCACATATTCACCCGAATTATCCTGATTTTGATTAATTTTCATGGAATAGTTAAATTAAAATAGCCAATTTCTATTGATTTGTGAAATCCCCAAGGCCAACTCATTAAAGAAAACCGCCCCTAGTTAATCAGCCGTCATTACCTTAATTAACACCGCTCCATTAATTACTGCCCCATGTTTACACATCTCATAAAATCCTTATCACTCCTGCAGCGCACAACAGAGTATTCATACACGATAAATAAGAGGGCACACTCGATTCAGCCTGAAAGAACTCTTTTCTCTCCTTTCTTATGAACCAAAGATTCTTTATCTCCTTTACTTTTTTCCTGCATTTTCCCTTTTTTCGGTCTAGTTGTGGATAAGTTGGGTGAATGAGACTTTCTTTCACGTCAGATTCTGCACTCGAAATGGGCGGAAAGGAGAGGAGAGCGCGTGGCCCCACCGGAGGCGATGCTCAGACGCGAGTTTCTTTTGCCTTACCTCCAGTCCATATCCCAAAGTCCCTTTTATATCCATTATATACGAGGTCTCTTTATTTTTATTTTTATTTCTTTATACCAACGTTTTCTTCGCCGTTGATAAAAGCGTATGTGTGCAATTTTTATACCTTCGCCTCTGTAAAAGCACTCGGGAACACTTTTCAAACTGATGTGAGTGAAGGAGGCAAATGTTGTAAACCGTGTTGAGATTTTCTGGATTTATCATTTATAAGGTTCGTAAATTGTTATTCTCAAAGGAACAAACGGAAGGATTTTTTTCAGCTCGCAGGAAAATGAAATTGAAAGTTTTCCGTAGCTTGAAATTTCTGCAGAAACGAATTTTTTATTCAATTTTCAACTGCTTTGATAAAAAAAATGGACGACTGCACTTCGCAATTTTTTTAAACATTTTTTTTGTAGATTTTGATGTGACACAGACCGAGTTTTCAATTCTCTGGGATAAAACGAATGTATAGAGTTAAGAGACCAGTTAGCAAAATTTAATTGAAAAATCTTATTGCGTTGATAACATTGCAAATTTTGCAGTTAATTACGTGAAATTTAATTTAATTTATGATAAAAACCCAACATTAGTGTTCACCACCGCGATAATCGCAATTTCATAGGGAATAATCGTAAGTAGAATACATGAAAGTAGGGAAAGTGCAGGCGGAGCATTCAAACATCTATAACTACTCATTAGACGGATGAAGATATACTCAAATAGGCCCCATTGAGAAGCTCTTACCGAGTTTTCTCAAATGGCCCACTAGGCATTCCCGCTGGAGCGATTCCGCAGTAGATAAACCTCAGTTTATTCAAATTTTTTTGTAGATACGAATGCCTAGAATCGGCGAATAATAAAATATCGAATGCAATATTTATTCATGAATCAACACGTAATTTACATTATTATAAACTCTTATTCAATTCAATTTATTTAATTTGACCCTTGTGACCTTTATTTTGATGCTTTTGACCCTTAATCTGACGCTCACGACTCTTCATTTCGAGTGCCAAATTTTTATCACAAACTTTTTACGAAGAATTTCTTTTGCAAAAAATCACAATAGAATAGTTCACACTGATAATTCTGTATTTGCATTAAACGTTCAATTGAAACATGAAATTCTAAAGTTTTGACGCTTTATGGATTTATTAAATCGCCATGAAAGTGAGTGGTGAAGCATAGGTCCATGAATTTAGCTCGAAGGCAAACAAGTTTTCGTGAAGAGACGATGCCTTGACGGCAGTATTTAAGGGAAAATCGGGAGGGAGGTGGGTGGGAAGAATAAGAAGTGAGTGGCGAAGAGAATAGGGAGAGGAAGCGGGGAGTGAGCCACTTAGGACTACGGGTTAACTCCATTAAATCGGTGGATGAAAGGGAGTGGGGGATCAAGCCGTTCACCCTTCACTATCCACCAAAGTTTACAGAAGACGCTTTTGGGTGAAAACCCACCCTTTCAGCCTTGCACTCCACACTTCATTTCATCAAGACCGACCTCTCTCTAGCCTTTACCGATCTCCCAACCCCTTTTTTGCGCCGGACTTTGCATGTACAAGATTCGGGGTCTTATCGAGAGTTCAGATAAGATTGGAATTACCGAGTTTTTATGATTAAACAAATTGGGGAAAGAGTTAATGAGGATGGAATATAAATGAGGACGAGTTTTAACTTTTGACGTTTTTCGCAGTTTACTCGTTTTAAAAGTTGAGTGGGAATTAGGAAAGTTTCGTTTATCGAGGGCAATTGGGAAAATCTAATTTTAAAATTCATCAATTCTATTTTATTTCGCCAAAAAACAAAAATAAATTTTATTTTTGTTCAACGATTGATGAATGTTTGGGATCAGTTCGTCAAATGACGGTTTTTTATTATTAAATATGTTGGGGGAAGAGTTGATAGGATGGAATATAAATGAGGACGACTTTTACCCCTTGACTTTTTCCGCAGTTTACTCATTTAAAAACTAATTAGGAATTAAGGAAGTTTCATTAATCGAGAGTAATTGGGGAAATTTAATTTATGTTACGGTAAAAGTTGGAGTTTTTAATTCTGCTCGTTCGGAATTTTAAGGAAGTAGGAGGGTCTTCTGTTTGATACTGATTATATTGCGAATTTATGGAGTTTCTTGAATGAAATCTGTTGAGTATGAATTCACCAATTCCGTTTTATTCCAGCAAAAATAAAAAATACATGAAATTAATTTTATGCAGTAATTTTTATCAAGGATAGAATATAAATAAGGACGATTTTTACCCCTCAACTAATTAGGAATAAAAAATTTCATTAATCGTGAGTAATTGGAAAAATTTAACTTACGTCACGGTAAAAGTTCGAGTTTTTTATTCCGTTCTTCCGGAATTTTAAGGGAATCCCAGGGTCTCCAGTTTGATACTGATTATACCCTTAATTTATGCAGTTTCACGAATAAAATTTTCATTCCCTATATTTCCCGAGTTGGCAATTAAGTTTTCAATCCACAAAAAAGCAAAGATAAATTGTCTCTTTGTTCAGCGGCTGGGTAGTGTTCGCGGTGAGGATATCGCCTATATCTTCGGCCTGCCGCTCATCTCAGGCGGTCCTTTCTTCCCCCTAAATTACAGCAGACAGGATCAAGGAGTTTCCGAAGCTGTTCTAACATTTTTCACAAACTTCGCTAAGACTGGAAATCCAAACGCCCCCCACAACATTGAATCCGTGGACTACGGTACTGTTAAAGAAAAAGCACGTTTTCGTGGTCTCACGTGGGATCAGTACGAGACTGGCTCGCAATTCTACTTAACAATAGGTGAGTTCTCTTATTTTTTTTCCTCCACTAAAACGAGGAAAAGGACTTGATCGTAATTCGAGGGTTTTACGTTCAGCGCAAAAACCGAGAATAAAGAGCCACTACCGGGGTCATAAAATGGCAGTGTGGCTCAATCTCATTCCCCAGCTTCATCAGCCCGGTGACGAGGACGTATCGATGCGTCATCATCACTTCAGGGAGCATGGGGACCACCTCTATGCGGGTAAATAAGCAAATTATTTCATGATATGCATGCAGCTGTATTACTGATTGCCAATCCCCGACAGAGAGAATAAGCTTTTGGGATCTGTATTCAAACAGAGGAACACGTTTATTTCATGGAGATAACGTGCAAAAAAATGAATAGAAAAATATAGGGAATTCTGGCGAAACTAGAAGATTTTGGCGAAAAATTCCGCGTTTTTTTTTCGATAGAAATGTTTAATGGAATATATTCTATAGAAAAAATCAATGGAATTCACGAAATTCCTGAACTTAAATTTTCTGAGTTATTTTGGTCGATTATAAAAATAATTAAAAATTAAGAAAAAAAAGCGGAAAAAATTGGAAAAATTCATGTCGCCGAATTTCTGTAGAATAAATTGAATATAAAGACGATATTCTACCGGATTTTTTCGATAAACGAATTTCCATTGAACCCCAAAAACTATTGGAAAATAGTGATATTGAATAACTGGAACAAATCCTTGAATTTCCAACACCCGAGTTCAACGAAATTCGTTGAAATATCATTGTATCCAATTCCTCAGTCTGTCACCTCCTCTCTTTCCCCAGGCGCAGTACGTGATGAATGGCACACCCCAGTGCCCCTAATAGCCACAACGCGTAGCAGTACATCATCAACCACCTGCACAACATCAATATCCGAGGGCTCGAGCACCCCCGACGTAACGTCAGTCTTAAACGAGAGAAAAGACAGTTACGAGCAGCTCGCATCTCGCCAGTTCTACAGTACAACGACAGCCCTGGCGATAACAGTGGGTGTAGGCTGCATCCTCCTCGTCCTAAACATGTTGATATTCGCTGGTATTTACTACCAGCGGGACAGAGACAAGAAGCGAGCAGCCCTGGAGTGCATGTCGAACGGTCAGGAGTCGCTGCCGATGACGACGAGACCGACGAACAAAACCACCGACAATCCACCGCCCTCTCAGGAGCCCCCGCCCTCGTACACGACCCTGGCTCGTCCCCCCACAATTCAGGAGTCCCCAATCGAGGACCCTGGCCACGAGGAGGGCCTGGAGGAGCGCCAGGACGAGGATGTTCACGAAAACAACAGGGAAATCGTTGGCAATTCCGTTCACAAGGACACAACACCCCCCAAACCACCCACGAGGACCACCAGCTCTCTGAGCACTGGTGGCACCATCAAGAAACGAGTTCAAATACAAGAAATATCTGTATAGCATTAGGGAATGCCCCAGGGGGGCAACAAACCCAAGCACGTCACATTCGTCGAGGTCGACGAACAGGTCGAAGACACCAGATTCTAAAGAAACAATCGTTTGTGCTTGGATCATTAATTTTTGTACTCTGATTGTGACCTATTGTTTGTGGATACTATCGATCAGTACGATATTATACATTGGACCAATCTGAATTATTACAGTGGCTAGGATGTAACTTCATTGAGTAATTAACATTGACTTTAAATTGTGTCTCGTGTGAGTGGCTCGAGTGAACAGGGAGTGAGCTAGTTTATTTCTGGTGGTGGAGTGAAACAACTGCCGCGATTTGGGGACTATCCATTGCTCTTGAGAGTGCTTTTTCCATTTCGGGGAGGAGGACTATTGATTGTAATCGCACCATCTTTTCATATGCAAATGAGTAATTGTGGTTTAGAGGTTTTGCTGATAAGAATGTCTTTCTATTTGAGGTAAAACGTCGTATGGTAACAGTATGAATAAAAGATTTTTCTTTAGAAATTAATGATTTTTGTGGTTTATTGATCATTAGTTAATTTTTTATTAAATATGGGAATGAGTAATTTCATAATTACCTATTGATCCTATTATTTCAGTCGTGAAATTAGAAACACGAATAAATTCTTGACGTCTTCACTGTATGAATTAAATTCTTTTATGAATTTCCACAAATTCCACGTGGATTTTAACATTTTGCTTCACAGGTGAAGCTGATGGACATCTTCAATACTCCGAAGGGCAGAGGAAAATATTTGTAAATTACAATACGATAACAATAAACACGAATTTATAAAGCTCATGAATTTTAATTAAACTGAGATATACATATTCTCTTCTGTCACTTTTCTTAAGATAATGGTATTTAAATCCTGAGTAGAAATTATGGGATAGAGAGGCTTGGTTTTCCCAACCAAGGAACGTAAGGAATTATGAGAACAAGAACGAAAAACATTGATTTGTTATGTTTAACAAAAAGTAGTAAAAGTTACTTATGAAGTCTTGGCAGCTTTCTTGGATGGGGAGTCGCGGATGGGACTGCCTCCCCTCTTCTTGCCTCTGGCACCTCCACCGCGTCCTGCAGATTGAAATGAATATTCAATTAATTCAAAGTCAACAGAATAATTTTTTTCTCTCCACAATTGATGGGAGTTGATCATCAGTTTTTCTAAGTTTTTTTCAACTCAGCGAGATCCTTGAGATCCCTCAGTATTAGCATGGCAATTCATCACGTGATCAGTTTTCAGAGGAAATAAAAATTAGAATTGAAAATCAATATAATTTTCGAATATAAAAAATGAATGAATAAAACAATTTGAATGGGATTATTCGTGGAAATCTGGATGATAAATAATGGAAAGGGAATTTACCTCTCTTTGATCGACCACGTTTGTTGTTCTTTATTTTCTGCTTCTTCTGGTTCATCTGTCCCTTGACTTTCTTCAGGTACTCTTCCTCCTCCTCACCCTCCACGAGTCTGAAACTCAGTGTAGACTCATTTACTGTGAGCTGAAATGAAAGAAAAATAATTAACGAATTATTTTCCATTATTTATTTGATTTTTGTTCAAGATTTTTTTTTGAAAACTCCATACGGAAATTTTTTCGACTAATCTGATTGAAAATTTTACCTCTTTGTCGGTGAATTTTTTCAGAATCTTCGTAGCAGTGCCCTCTCCATGAAAACGTATCTTGCCCTCTGAGTTTCCCTTCTCATAATCCATAAAGGCAATTTCTTCTGGAATGAGTTCTGCGAGCTTGACCACAGCTTCCTTGATGTCCTCTCTTAGAGTGTCGTCCCCAGCTCCTGTGAAACTTAAAACTGCGCCTTTGGGCAAGACAGTGTCGTCTTCAGGGTCCTCAGCCTCCATTACTTCTTCCTCCTAGTGACAAAAACGAAAATACATCGATTGTGAGAAATAAATTTACATGAGAATAAATTCCTGGATTGCACTATTAGTTATGGGGTTTTACCTTCTCAGTCTTCTTTCCCTTTCCATCTCTCTTGCTTTTCCTCTCCTCAATTTCCTTCTTCTTCTCAACCAAGTAATCATTCTTCCACTTCCTGATGAGCTCCTTGTCTCCATATTTAACAGACTCCCTAGCCATGAAATCTTTAGCACCCTCCAGGGTCGTGAACTGGATGAATATTGAACCTTTGAAGAAGAATTGATTCTTTTCTTTGTCGGGATACCTCCTCATCTGAACAAAAACAATTCAACTTCCATAAAAATGTCATAATTTCATTTTTCTCAAACTGAATCATTATCAAGACGATAAAATAATAATGCCAGTCAGACATTTCAATTATTAATTGAACTATTGAATCAGTGAAGTGATGAAACGATTCAATTTGTCACAACAAATAACTGTAGAAGAAAAGTTTAAAAAATTTTCAAGTATCCGTTCGAGTTAAGAACGAACTCATGTTCAAAAATGAAAAACTACTCACGAAAATAGTCTCATGAGGCTGAAAGTCCTTGAAGAATTCCTTGAGAACCTGGACGGTGGTCCCCTGCAGAGGGAAGCCCTTGCAGTAAACAGACCTCTCCTCCTGTGCCTTTTTGTAAGCCTCATCGTAGACAGGCAGTGGCTTCTCTGGACTGCGTCTGATCTTCTTCCTGTCCTCTGAGATCTCCATGAGTTCACTGTCCTCAAGGGCCTTCAGGATGGTCTCCACGTTCTGACTGATTGACGCCAGAGCTTTGAACTTCAGCATTATGCTCATTGGAATCCATCCCTCGTCGAGTTTCACTTGGTCAATGAGGAACTTATCTCGCTGCATGTTACAGTCACCGAAGTAAAACTGAATAAATTGAAGGAAAGTGTTTAGTAGCATCACTAAATAAAATAGTGTATTCGATTATTTTATTAAATTTAAATTTAGAAATAAATTGAATATGATAACTCTTTAAATTTTTTTCCGTTGTATTCAATCATTTCATTTTTAATGGACTATTAAAATTGTTTAACTAAAATTTTAAGGAATTTCATAATTAAAAATTCACAATTTCATTAAAAAAATCAATGAAAACTGGAAAATTTCAGTTCAACTGCCCCACAAGAAAACAATAACTAGAATTTTTTGATGCAAGGTTTTTAGCCTAAAAAAATATTTGTGCCCCAAGAGAAGCTGTATTAGTGAGGTTAGACAGGCCGATTGGGCACTGGCATAATTCTCACCTCGATCTGTGATTTAATCTTCTCCAAAAGCTCTGGAGTAACTTCCTCTGGGGTTTCATCAGACTTCTCCGCCTCCTCGGCGGCTTTCTCACCCTCATTTTCCTTAGTTTCCTCGCCCTCAGGTTTTGCCTCTGCCACCGGCTTCTCCTCCGGGGCCGCCTCTGGCTTCTCCTCCGAGGCTACCTCTGGTTTCTCCTCAGATTTACCGTTCTCCATCGCAGATCCAGTGATTTTTATTCGTACAAAAATATTTCCGGAGGTTATCTGAGCGATTTATCACTACTTTGGGGGTTTGATGGCTCGGGGTGGCTTTTTTTACGGACTTTTGCGTCTCGTAAACACGTGTTAAACCGCACGCCTGCACGAGCCAAACAAATCGGAGGTGAAACACGATAGGAAGTGACGTCATGCCGTCATGATGATTCGTTCATTTAGTTCGAGAAACCGCCGCGCGGGCTGCGCCGCGCGCGTGCGCGACGCCATTCGGGGTACAAGATGGCGAGAGCGAGTTTGGAGAAGGACGCGTGCCACGGAGCTGTTTTTATGAATAAATTGACGAAAAAGGATTGATTGAACAGGGAGGAAGTGTTATTTGACTGTAAATAGGGAGTTTAATTGTTTTATCGGTGGATTTTTGGGGTTTTGGAGGTGTGGGGGAGACAAAGGATTCGGCGTCATGAGTTTGGTGGCAACATGTGGGAGTTGGACAAGGACACAAAGGCTACAGTTTCGTTTTTATCGTGGAATTAATTGAAAATGATTGACTGAAGAGGGTCGAAGTGGTTTTTTTCTGAAAATGGTGAGTTTAATTGGTTGATTGGTGGGCTTTTGGGGGTTTGGAGGTGTTGGGGAGACAAAGGATTCTGTTTCGTGAGTTTGATGCAACCGGCGTCTGTTGGACAAGGACAATTGCTAGTTTTGTTTTTATAGAGAAATTAATGGACAACAATTGATTGAAAAGGGTTGAAGTTCTTTAAAGAAATAGTGAGTTCAATTATTTAATTGAGGGATTTTTGGAGATGTGTTGGACAAGGACAATTGCCACAGTTTTGTTTTTAAAGAGAAATTAACGGACGATAATTGACTGAAAAGGGTTGAAGTGTTTTTTTTTTAAAACAGTGAGTTTAATTATTTAACTGATGGATTTTTGGGGTTTTGGAGGTGTAGGGGAGACAAAGGATTCGATTGGACAAGGACAGTTGTCACAGTTTTGTTTTTATTAAAGAGAAATTGATGGACAATAATTGACTGAAAACTGTGGAAGTGTTGGTTTTTTGTGAATAGTGAGTGCAATTGTGTGATAAGTGGTTTTTTGGTGGTTTTTTGGTGAATTTTTGGTGCTTCGAAGGTGTGCAGGAGACAACGCAGCCCTCGGTTATGTGAGTTTGTGCTAATCTTCAATTTTTGCATGTTTTGCATGATTTTTGCATTTTTTGAAACAGACCAGAATTATAATTTTTTTATTCTGGCGAAATGAAATATTCGTTTTATAAAAACAGCGTAAATGAATATTTAGTTTGTAGTTCTAGCCCAGTCGAGGGTTTTGTTTGAATATTTTTGCGTCGACTTCACTTCCGGAAGTGTTGTATTTGCGCGCGAGACTTCAAAGGAGTGATTTTATTCGTAGGAAAAATATTACTCGTCGGGTATTATTTTAATCTCATCGGCTAGTCCGAGAGACGCCAGCGAAATAAGATGAAATACTCAAACAAATACTTAATAATTAAATTAAAATGATTGATCTCAATCGATGGGAATATTCTGTAGATTTTCCCTGTGATCTGCCCCTCCCTCCAATCGTCGATCTCCTGAACTGAAAAAAATGATTTAAAAAAAACGAATAATTCAAGCTTTAATAGCATTTTTTTCATTTTTTATTCATGACAACTGGCAAAAAATTAACGAAACCTTAGAATTAGAATAGAAAAATCAACGTCTGCAATTCTTTCCCAATGGATCCTGATCATCATTAATTTTCACTTCACAGCTATCTTGCTTAACTTCATCTCCCTCCCCTTCATCAACTTCACCATTCACTTCCTCCGTTCTTTCGTCCTCAGGATTTCTTTCATCCGACGTCTCCTCATCCTTCCCCCGTTTCGAATTCTTCTTCGATCCAGATTTCTTGTACTTATTTTTCTTCTTGTTTTTCTTCTCACTTTCTCGCGACGAAGTTTCGTCCTCGTTCACATCCTCTTCAATATTTTTTCGCTTATTTTTATTCTTCTTCGAGGATTTTTGCTTTTTATGCTTCCTGGGCTTGCTCTCCTCGCTCTCCAGTGAATCCTCATCGTCAGAGGACTGGGATTTCTTAATTTTGTTCTTCTTCGATGGCTTCAACGAAGAGGGCTCCTTCTCACGTGGTGGAGGCTCTTCGTCGTCATCGTCAGACGCGTCGCGATCATTCTCAGTTGACGACTCATTCTTCCTCGATTTTTTTTGCTTCTTCCTAGACGTTTCGGTTTTCTCGACCCTACGCTCTCCAACAGATTTATCCTCATCATTCTTCAAATCTGCTTCCTCGTTATCCTCATCATCTTCCGGGCTGTTCTCCACCGATTTCTGTTTATTATCTTTATCTCGCCTTCTCTCATTCAGCTTAACTTTTGATTTTTTAGAGGCCTTTTCCTCACTGCTGTCATTGATTACAAATTAATTAATGATAGAAGGAGTATTTTCGATATTTGGATAGTTTATTTATTTACCTGAATTCATAACTCTCTACGTCCCGCTTCTTTTTTTTGTATTCCTTTTTTGCTGAACCAATTTCAGTCATCAGTAGTACACAAACAATTACAGCGAACACAATAGCGAAACTAAATAAAAAAGGAAAATTAAGGTCACAAAATTAATTGAGAACTGGAAAAAAATGAACATTAAAAGATTTTCACTCAAATTTCCTGTACACTCCTTGGAAATTCTTATCACACAAATTCCACTGGAATTTTGAGGAATTTCGTCGTGAAAAATCCAAAATTTTATGGAAAAATCAGTGGAAATTAGGAAATTCCCAGAGATATATTTTTAAATTGTCAATTAATTGAACATTCAACAAAGTTTAGCAGTACATATTCATTTTTTTATCATCTCATCCTCCTGCTGCTCAAAAATGTGAAATTTCGTTGAATATTCACTTTCCAAAAAATTACTACTCAACTGTCCGCAAAATTTCAATTTTTTTCCAACATTTTTTGAAGTATTGCTTTACTCACCGCATCTTAGAACGAATAATTCATTAATTCCAATCAACAACTCGAATAATTCCCCATAAACTCTTAGAATCGTTGCGGTACGTCTATTCAAGCCTCACAAAACAGAATAATTCGTTGCGCAGTCCTTTATACTCCCGATACGACTCAAATTCACCTAGTGACTGATAATCCCACAGCAAATATAATAACTCCAATCTGTTATGACTCTCCTAGTCCCCAGAGGACGACGATCTGATGAATTTGAGACGTTGAATAACGCGATAAAGGGGTCAGAGTTGTATTCCACGGAATGTTTTCCCTGAAATCCAACGTTCATTCAATTTTTTCAATACGGAAAATCTCTGATACCATCTGCAAATATTCACGACCGAGCTATCTCGTCTTCCAGCGATTTCCTTATCAGTTGTAGAATGATTGATATACAATTTTCGGTGCTCACGAGGTTTGCGAAATAATTTGGTCTGAAAACAATTTTTTTATAGGAAAATTATATATTTTTTTCGATATTATTAAGTAGTACTGACAGGTCTTTCTCGAGATCTTTACAATATACAATCACACTCGAGTATACGATTAAGGTACATATTTCTCTTCATTATTTTCCGAATAAAACATAAATTTAACAATACTATAATGAATCCCGATGATTAACAGATTTACAACATTAATTTTGAGAGGATTAAGATTAAACCACAGATATTGATTGAACATTATTTTAGATAAATCTGGATTGAAGTATTGAAACAACTAATGGGACGTGTCAGCAGCAATTTGATGAGTTATTTTTACAAATAAAAATCAAACACTAATTCCATGTAAATCCTTTAATTTCGTAATGAAGAAAAATGAAAATTTGAATTTCACGTTCAACTCCTTGTTTCACGACCTCAATGCAGAAATAATTCGATCAATTATTCCATTGATATACCCATCACCGAATGATCGACTTTCATTTCACTTGATCGTTGAAAAAAAAAGATAATGAAAAATACATTTTATTTATTCGATGCAAGATGAGTGAAGTTTGTTTGTAGATTCTAATGCAAGGCACTGATAAGATTAGTATTTCCTCTCGAATGTGCTACATGTTTTAAAATCTTGTCATATTAGTTTTTCTATCTGTTCATCAACGTTTAAACACAATTGCCATCACATTGTGACGAATACAAAAAATAATTTTCTATACAAAAATGGTCAAAGTGAGAAAACTTAGGTGTATTCTGAAATTGAGATATAAAGTTTGATGAAAAATTACACTCGCTATTATTTTTAATCAATCTATCAACTAATAAGTATTGTGTAATATTTTAATCCTTTTTTACGGTATTACGTGAATTATCCAGTGTGGAATTCACTTGGGTTTCATTTTTACTAAGTAATTAACTTTTTCATACAAATTCTGATCACAGAAATTACAGAGAATGGCAGGCAGGACATTCCACATAAGTACCTGACTGTTTTATCTATTTTTGGACTCATTCTACTCAGAGAAATTCATTTCTTCGGATTTTAAGTATTCGAGCATTTAGTCAGCTTGAGATTCCACAAAAATAGTTTCAATTAAGTCTTTCAATACATTTTTCGCTTTCTCTTTCCTTGCAAGAATTTTAATTCATAGCGTTTTTTTTTCAATTGAGAATAATTTGTCCTGCAAATTCCTTCTGTTGTTGAAGAAAATAGTTTTTACAATTTAAGAGCTGCTTTCTTTCATCTTCATTCATAACGAAAAAATTTAACTGTGAATTTGCATCATGTTTTCACTTGTAGGCTGTTGTGCTGATTTTAAGCATTGGAGCACCAAACAAACCTGAGATTCCGCGAATGCACTTTGAATTAAGTCTTCTGACACATTTTTCGTTTTTTTTCCTCACAAGATTTTTTTTTATTTGAATAAGAACACTGTTTTGGAATTCATAGGGTCATTTTTCAACTAAGAATAATTCTTCCTGTTTGAAATTATTATAATTTGAAGGCAGGAAATTTTTTTCTGCTCTAAAACGAAACAGTTTTCAGAATTTAGAAAATGTGTTCTTAATTCAAGAAAAAATCATCTGCGATTTTTGTGTCGTGTTCTCACTCACAGGCTCTTGTGCAAGTTATTAAGAATGTCCCCAGTATTTGTTTTATTATATTAAATCTACTGTAGAATGTGAATTAACTACGATTGTCCAGAGAGACTCGACTGCCTGGAAATGATTTTCCCATTTTTGCGGGTTGTTTCATTGAGTGGCTCGTCGTCGTCGCTCATTGACTGTGGAATTTTCTGATCTGGATAGTTCCATGGTTGAATATCAGCTGTACCGAATATTTGGAATATTACGTAGGTGCCACAGGCTATGCAGCTTGTTAAACCGAAGACTTGTCTCCAGGCTGTTAGAGTTTGCTGTTGTAAAATCGAAGGAAAAATATTTTACTGAATTTTCTCATTAATTTGCAGTGTAAATTCTTCTATCACTGTTACTTTTATGAAGTATTAAGATTTATCGGTTTATCGGTTCTCGTTTTTTTTAATAGCACGAATATTCAATAATGATAATTAAAAAATATTTTTTTAAATTTTTTTTCTCAAAAAAATCTCATCGTTCACTTGACGAATGTTTCATTCGATTTCTCAATTTTGAAAAACACTTACGCCGTCTTGGGTTATAACACCAGCAGCAATTGGCGATAGAAATGAAGCTGTCATGTGAATTGTCTGAGCGAAAGCTAGAACAGGACCAGCGAAATTCGGCGCAATGTCGACGATACTCGCCATTGCCCCAGCGTATGCTGCGGTTATCAGTGTCACAGCTACGAACCAAATAACGAGGGCGAGGATAATGTTGCAACCTAGGTAGCCAATCAGCAGGACGAGAATCCCTGGAACTACTTGAGCTAGAAAAAGAAAAATACGGAATTTATCGGCTATTCAGCTCTCTTTTCGCTCATACTACTCACAAATTGCTGTGAACAATTTTCTAACGTTGGTCAGTGTCATCATCTGTCGCGTTACGAGAACATCTGCCACGTAGCAGAACACGACTGAGCTCAGATAACTGCATATAAAAGGGACGCCAGAAAGTACGCCATTCTGAAAGGAAGGGAAAACAGATTTCAAGGGAATTTTATTTGAATTTCGTGAAGTTTTCTTCGAAAAAAAAATTCGTATGAGTTTCTGCAGACTATTTGCAAATTATTCTGCTCATTTGATGAATTATATTGTCGTAATATCATCTGTTAAGACGTTGGGAGAGGAATTTGCGAGTTGGTTTTCGATTAATAATTCTCGTTTTTTGACAGTTCGTCGTGAAATTCTTCGAGTAATTTGAAACACTCACGGTTTGAATGTCGAAACCAAGGACTGTCTTCATGTACATTGGTCCAGGAATGATAAACACGTAATGCACCCATATTCTTCCGAATGTCGTGATTCCAATGGCCCATGTAGGCATTGAGAGCAGCATCGACTTCCACGGGGTTTTCATGCCCTTGAGAAAAGATGAAAAGTCAATTCAACTTTAATTTTTTTGCGAATGTCACAAAAACGTGCGGAAAAGCTGCTAAATTTTTAGTTGAAATCAACTGAATTGATGATTTTTTATCGATTTTCTGAAGAACTTTAAATTTTTTTAGAACTTTCTAAATTTTCAACGACGAAATTCCTTGAAATTTCATTGCTAATTAAATTCGATAAAAATTTCCAAAAAAAAAACCGGAAATTTCACACAAAAATTTTTCGGGGTGTAGCAAACTACAAAAAATACTTGGATATCCTTAAAATTGATCAATAAAATTCATCTCTTCTATTGAATTTCCAAACTCTCGAATTAAAAAAAAAATCCTCACCTCACTGACTTGATTTCCAACACTTCCCTGAATGTACCTCAGCTCGTGCTGCGTTATCCTCGGATGTGTAGCTGGTGTATCAAAGGCAAAGAAGTACCAAAAGAAGCACCAGGATACCCCGACAGTGCCAGTTGTATAGAAGACCACTCTCCATCCATAATGGGCGATAATAAATCCGCAGAGTGGATAGGTAAGGCCGATTCCAAAACTGAACCCTGAATATAGATAATGGAGCTTGTTAAAGTGTCGCTCACCCCAACGTGAACAATCCCAATGTAGAGGTAGGATGATAACATGAAGATTCCCTCTTATAGTAGGGCCATTATGTAAATCTCGTTATCACCAGGCTATTTTTACAATATTCCATTTTGGCCCTGTGTACTCTGCAATGCGATCCAAATGTTTTAGTGTGATCGAATGGGGGAGGGGAGGACATAACAATGGACAAATAATGGTGTTATCAATGAGCGAGTGACAAGTTGATACGCATGAAAAAAATTAGGTGAAAAATTGAGCGTTTTTTTTTTGAGATATTTCTATTGAAATTGTGAAATTCTGACAGGAAATTTTTTAATGGACTTGAGATGAGATTTTTATTTTTTTTTACGTGGGATTTTTGTGTTCTCATTAGAAAATTTTAAAATAAACAAATAGATAATTTAATTATCGGATCTTAATAGGTGTATCAGACATTTTTGGCTAAAATTTTCAACCACAGTTCAATATTTTATGGAAAAATCAATGGACTGTAAATTTAAGTTCAATTATTCCTTGAAAATTAATAGAAACCAGAAAAATTCATGTGAATATTTTCTTGAATGTTTAATTAATTTAAAAAAATCTATATTTAAACGCTTGAAATGTCTCTCAATAGAATATTTCTCATGCAGAATTATAATACAACACCAGCAGAATATCTCATAAAAAGTACTAAATTTTTCCCTTAATTTTTTTTTTTCACATGAAGTGGGACAATGAAACTTCTTGCCTGTAAAATCAACATAAAAAAATGAGTTTAATCACTCTGGTATCTCTACTTTGCGGTAGTTCTGGCTGATTCAACCAGGCTGGAAGTATACTCTTGCCGTTCTCATGCTGTTGAGCGGTATTTTTTATCACTTGACTGATCGAGTATACCCCTGAGTCCGGACGAATTCAGCAGCACCATTGGCCCTCTAAATTGCAAAAAAAAAAGCACAAACAATTTCCTGATGAGCAACACTCGGAGGTTAAAATTTCAACTGAAAAAGAATGACTTGTTTAGCTTTGTGAACTGTTCTGTTCTGAAAGAATCGTGCGAATATTAGTGTTTGGAGTTTTTTCAACACAATTTGGGGGGACTAATTATCGAGTTACAATGGGTATATATAATAGTTTTATGCGAGGTAATTGAAGTTTCACTGTAACACATAAAAAATTTTTTAGTGGTGCATTTAACTGGTTTTACCAGCGGTCAAGGTTTTAAGTTTATATTGTCATTAGATATTTTGTTTTGTGGGAGTTCTCACCTTGGAAGGAAGACATGAAACGCGATCGTTCCACGGGGGGAATCCAGTGGCCCACTATGGCGTACATTGCTGGCCAAGTCAAGCCCTAGAGAATGATCAGAAAATGGTAGACAATTTGGTGATTGGCAAAAAAAAATTACATTTAGGAGAAAATTTAACGGAAAACTTTTTGATTTTTGTGAGCTGAACATTTTATTCTATTCGTTTGAATGGAATTTTCGAATGAAAATCCCGAGTTCTTTCATCGAATTTATCTCACACATCGATGATTTTACAACTGACAACTTACACTCGCAATTCCTTGAATACTTCTCAATGCAATCATAGCAGAATAATGAATGTCAGCAGCAGTGGGAATGAGAAGGCTGCAAATAGCAGTGAGGAGTTGTGAACCTCCAAAAACAGTCTTTGTACCAAAATACTGGGTCAATACACCACCAACAACTTGGGATAGTATGTAACACCAGTAGAAACTGCCAATTATGGCTGATTGCACTGTGGGACTCCAATCAAACTCTCCAGAGCCCTGGAAAATTGATGAATCAATTAGGGCCGTGAACAAATAAATTAAAAATCGTTCAGGTGGTTTCAGCCACACTGAAAAAAACAAAATTTCTGCAGAATATTCATTTACTTCAGAGGAGCATTTACTCATTTTATTATTAATTTTTCATAAATTTCTTATTTTTCACAGGGAAGAAGTTCAATTAATTTTTTAATGCTTATAATTATTGGGGGAGTTAACTTTAGGTTACAACTAACATGATCATCTTCTAGAGCAATATAATTGTCGTAAGTGAAACCTAATGAGAATTGAAAAAATGAATACTTCTCTTGAGCAAATGGATATTTGGGAAAAATATTTTTCTTTGTCGGTGCAATTATTTCACTCACTTCTCGCGTAACTTGACTGCTCGTAACATTTGCACTGTCATCGTAGCAGTAAGCCTCTGTGTTACTGTTATTTTTCTCATCGGAATTCGGCATTTTAGCCATCTCCACCATTGCTAAATTTATGTCCATTCTCATCATAAAGGAGACGAGAAATCCGGAGAATGAGAGCATGTACAGTACTACACGTGCTGGCACCATGTCTGTGAATATCAATAGTTCAGGGAGATGTTAATATTTATTGAGAATTTAATTTCAAACTGTTAATTCAACATTTCTAAGAAATTTTGGCTGAAATGTTCGAGAAATTTCGTCATTAAGAAGTGGAAATTTTACGTAAAAATCAGTAGGAATTGTAAATGTCAGTTCAATTATTTCAAATATTCAATTAATTGAAAATTCAGATTAAGTTAGTACTGAAAAATCAAGTCAGTTGAGGAAGTGTCGTCTTTTCCCCGTTAAAAATTCCCAATTGCTTTGAATTTCTAGTGAAATATGAAATTCCATGATTTTTCAATTTTTAAAAATTGAAATCTCAATCGTTCTCACCTCCGAGCCTGCGAATGCTGAAGCCAGGACGACTGTACAAATGGCTCTCGTACCTGTTGATAAAAAAAAAATGAAATAAACCGGGAAATTGTGAGGACGAATGTCAACAGTGAAGTATTTTTTCGTGATGGGTTTATCGATTGATTTATTTTTAATCCGTACTTTTCGGGATCATCCATTGTTGCGCTCCGATGTAATTGACACCGAGGAAATTGATCGTGTGTTTACCCTCACGAACGAAATGGCACTGCAATCAGCCACAATCACCTCGCGTTCTGAAAAGAAAAATTATAAATTGTAAATTGTAAATGATGATGCATTCTTCTCCATTTCAAGAAGTTCACGCATAAAACAACTTTGCAATTCTTAAAATTTGAGAATGACTGGGCATTAGCAGTTGATGCGGGGCATTGTTGAGAATGTGACTAGTCAAGGGTCAAAAGTTAGGGAAAACAATCGCGCAATAAATGTTGGTACGCTCTCATGCATTTTCTCAGGAATTTACATGAAGTGAATTAATGATTGTCTGTTGTCACAACTTCGTAACATCAAACTTCGTATTATAGTCGGAATTGACAACAAGTAATTCTGTGAAACGTCGGTATAAACATTGTGTGTCTAATTGATTAGTCAATTTACTTAGCTCATGAAAAGAATAAATGGCAGTGGAAAAATATTAAATAGAAAAATTCACCGTCATCTCTGAGAAATTCTGTAGAAATTTTTGGGCATAAATTTATCAATTTTTTTCGTAGGTTTTCTCGCAACCAAAATAAAGGAAAATCTCAATAAAATTATCTATTGAAAAACAAAAAACAAGTAGAATTTATCAGGTGCAACTTCTATTGAGTTTTTCTACTCCCCTTCAGGTGTAAATTTCATTATATTGTCCTCAGAAAATCATTAACACTAATAAGACCATTTGTAGGCATAACGAGATGGAAGGACGACCTGAATGAGAAACCCATGCATCATCAATGGGCCACATTCCGGGACTCGTTCCCATTTTTCAAATTATTCCCCCATAGAGAGCAATCAAAATTCCTGAGAATTCCCATCCCGAACGTGTTTCCCACGTTATTTCCGTGGGGGGCAAGGAGATTCCACATACCTCAGCCTTATTGAATGTCAAAGGACCAGGGAAATGAATCATGAAATTGGAAAAACTCGGGAAGGAGTGGGGCGCAAACCTCTCGTTATTTTAATCCAGGATTAATTTAGAATTAAAATATGTAACCGGAACGGAACTGTCGCGAGTCAGACGAGTACAATTATCCTACTTTCCGTTTCACGTTGTGTCATCGTCTACTATCTACCAAATAATGAGGTAATGACTGGTCACTATCCAATCGGGGGCATAACGAAATAATATTTTTGCTGAGAAAAAATTCATTTCATTAATTTTGAAACGGATTTCGCGTTTCGATTCTTTTTTTATCCGTCGAATAGTCATTTCGATTGGGGCTGGAATGGTGAATTCGTTGTAAAAAAGTTGTATTCAAATGACAACGTAACAAATTGTAATGAATTTTTTGTTTATTCGCATTTATCTCGGTGACGAATAAAACCAGAGCCATTTATTGACACAAGAAATTTTCAACGGAAATTATCTCTCGACATTTTCCTGTTAAATCGTCGATTGTTCAACGCATGATCGCTGAATTATCTCAAGAATGAGAGGCAGCTGAATAATTTAATTCAATTCAATCAAATTTAAATGCAGAATTTTTCTTGACAACGACAATTTTTTATACAAAATTCCGGTCATTCTCTCCAGCAACTAATCGATTTTGGTGGCTATCTAACGATGACTGGACACATTGGTAATTAAACGACAATTCAGTGGTTCAAGATAAATGAAGGAAAACACGTAAACCACGTAAACCAATGGCACGACACATAAATACAACATTAAACTCAAAATGACTCTGCAATAATGGTCATTAACTTTCAATTAAGATGAACTCCGCTGTCCGGATAATAAAATTTAACGGCTTTATAAATTACTCGACATGACTTCACTCACTCCAGCTGGTAAAACGTAACAATGTTTAATTTATCGGTGGTAAAAATTATTTTGAGAGCAAAATTCACCGAAAAATGTGACCTTCTTCAGCTAAAGTCACTCTCTATTGATTCAACACTCCATCACACGTGATAATAACAAGGAAAACATTCATAAATAAATGAATAACAAATTTAATTGCGGAAATAAAACAGTGATAAGAAAAAATTGTATTTACGCTTTGATAAGTCGAGTGGAAATGTGTCACATTTACTGTCTTTTGTTATTTAAATGTCGAGTAATAGATGAATGACCACTGAAATCCGGATAAATCGATGTAATCACCAGGGCAGCATTATCGCCACTGACTGCAGGTTTGATTCGAGCCACGAGGCTACGGATGCCTGTCCCATTTCTTCATTTCCACCCCACCCCCCTCGCCCCCCCCTCCTCCCCCACATGCGATTTAAAATCCTGATGGAACGGAAGAGGGTGACGAACGTGCATGACTGTCATTTTGGTCATTGGCTAGCGCGGTATGCAGTTTTATTGACAGTACAAAGCCTGTGTTTATGTAACAAAATCATTAGCTATGCGTATAAATTATTTTTAAAATTACCCGGGAAATAAAATTTTTTACGATTAATCGGGTTATAGGGAATCTCATTGCGGGAATCCGGGGAGTAGTGGAAGGAATTTTTATTGCACTGTTCAATTCGGGACACCAAACTCATGTGGGAGGTGAGTCCGCTGGAGAGAAAAGGAGAGGTGACTGGGAAAATAGATTTTCTGGGGTTTTTAGGATTTTTTTTGTTGAATTGAATTGAAGTGAAATTTTTACGGGAATTTTAGGGGGTTTTCTCACTGATAGTTCACAATTTGATGAAAAAATCAATAGAAACTGTAAATTATGAATGATTTGATCTAATTTAATATCTCAGTATGAAAAATTCACTCTCCAAACTTTTAAAAATCTCTCATTACAAAATTAAAGAAAAAAAACACTTGAAAAATTCACGGCCATGAATTTTCATTTTAAAAAATCTCAGAAGATAAAAATCGACACCTGTTGATTTTTTTCTATCCAATAGTATTTTTTTTTAAGAAGTCGGTGCAAGAATGGAATTCTCATTTCGGAAGCTTCAGATTTTCCGCTTCCGAAACTAAAACGCTGGCTTTGTTCAACTTTTTCGTAAGTCACTTGAATTTCGGAATCTTTGATGATTACCCAATCATGAAGTGTCGTGCGATAATCATGGAGGGTCTCCCTCCCTTCATGGAGTAATTGACCTCAGTCATGTGGACGATCCGGGGGATTTATGCTTGATGAAATCGTATGGGGAGTATCACTTTAGGGCAACGGCATCACGAGACAGTTTGCCTCGTAACGATTATCACGAGTTTCTTCGATCACGAGCCGTTTTCTTGCGCACAGATTAATGCCAGTGGTTTCATATTTGAGGTATTGACGGTTTCGTTGCACTGTTAGAAATTTCTTGAAATTTCAGTTGTCAAGTTGAATTAAATTTCAAGTGAAAACGTTCATTCCATTTCTCATTAATCTTGAAAATTCAAGAAAATTGGGGTTTTCATGTTAAAAAATTATTGATTTTTCCATGAAAGCTTAAATTTCCAAACTCATTGTGAAAATTAAACATACAATTACACAATTCAATTCATTATTCACCTACAATTCAATTTTCAATAGATTGAGAATTCAGAAAAGTTGTTGTTTGAATTTTCAAAATTTTCAAGATTGTTTATTTGACATTTCAAGAGTAATTCTCTAACAGTGTGGTTCAAAGGCCAGAGAAAGTGGGAGGGAACGGCATCTGAAGATTCATTCGATCTCAAACTTTTCCAATAACTCAATAATTATTTCTGTCGAGACTTAATTTTTTTAAGTTTCAAAAAACGCGAAAATCCATTCGTGGGGTCTACAAATATCCCATTCTCTTCACAAGATTGTTGCATCATTCGGTGAAATCCCAGAATAATTTAATATTTCAATTCTATTCATGAAATTATTGCATCAGTTCATGAAATCCCAGAAAAAAATTGTTATTCATCCAATTAATTAGTTGTATCTTTGACCTCCTTCAAGACAATGAATCACTCTCTAACTATTAATGAAATGCGAAAATAAAAATTTAACAGTGCATTAAAAAGAACGTATGCACTGAACTTCGTGGAAAACTAGGACCTTGGTCTACCGGCATCAATTTTCCCACAGGGAATCGATATCTACACGCCAGTTACATTATCATTCGCAACAAAACAATTTATAACAGGAGGATATCAACTGGAATTAATTTGAACAGATGCTCATCTGTAAGCCGAGATGTTTGCGGCAGGAGATCTGACACCAGGCAGGACACGCCCTGGACAACAACAATTCGCTGAATGTGGGTCACCAAACTCGTGTGCGGGGTGAATCCGCAGGGTAGAAAGGGAGAGTTGCCGGGGGAAAATCGATTTTCGGGGCTTTTTTAGTATTTATTCTGTTGAATTGAAGTCGATAAAATCCATAACATTCGGTAGTTTTTGAATATTGAAGAAATTCAAGGGATTTTGCTATTTAAAATTCACAATTTGATGGAAAAATTTATTGAAAACTGAAAATTTTCGGGAATCAGAAAAATTGAAGTGAATTTTTTTTTCAATTATTAATTAATTGAGAATTTTACGTAAGTTGGGAAATTCTCGTTTTTCTGCTGCTCAAAAATATTACTAAGTAACAGTTCCACTGGAATTTCCAGGAATTTCGTCATTGAGAATTTCCGAAACGATGAAAAAATTAATAAAAACTGAAAATATTCAGAAATCGAATAAATTGAGGTGAATATTTACTTAAATTTTCAATTAATTGAGAATTCAGTGGAAGTTAGGAAACTCTTGTCTTTTTGCTGCTCAAAAATCATAATCGTAATTCCGTTCAATCAAAATACAACTGACAAAAAGTAAAGTAAATTAAAAAAAAAATTGCGAAGCTGTTTTACAACCGAAAAATAAGCTAAACATCTCGATTTTTCTTCTCCAAATCCCCACTCTTGGATTTTCTATCGCAAAGTGTTCTATGTGTACTGGCAATTCCCCAAAAATGATTAACGACTTGCGATATGCAAAAACGTGTTACGAACGGAAACGACAAATTGTTTATTGGATACGACACGAGTGATTGCTGTAATCAGTAGTGCGGTAATTCAGCGGCAATGTCATTGCGCTGCAGGACAACCAAAACGCGAGAGCTGAGATGAACGAAATAAAAGAACTATAAAAAATGATATCAACTATTACGTGATAATGGCAAGTTCTTTCATAACTCACCTTCATGCAGTGCTTGTGACACGCGATGCAACCGCTGTGCGGCTTTTTCTCCCTAATCTCCCGCATTTTCGGGGTTGGCACGTGTTTAACCGGTTGGCTAGTCTCCTCGCAAGTCGAGTGATTCCCCTTGTAACGAGTTTTTATTTCATCGATAGTGGCCGGAACACCGATAGATTGCGGCCTGTGATTACCAGGGGCGCGAGGGGAGGGGGTGGGTTACACTGTCAATTGTACCTCTTCACTGTTACGTACCGAGGAGCAATGAAACGCCAGAGCACTACGTCGATGAGACTCATGTAGGCGCACCATCTAGCCTCGACCTGAGGTGCTGTGACGTCACTCGATGTCACGTGATGACGCGCAGTACTATGGCCGATGGCCAGGCAATGGCTGGTGGGGATGGGAGGGACGAATCAATATCCGCGGATTATGCGGGACTGCACTTGGCGGCAATTTTAAATGCGAGGGACTTCTTCGGGAGAATGTCTTTATGCCGCGACGCCATCTGTCGGAATTCTAGAAATTTCCCCGGTTTTTCCGATAATTGTAGAAAATTTTCGGCGTTTTTTTCAGGATAATCAACGATGAAAACTTCTGGAAAATTGTTAAGCGTTCCGCAGAGTTCTAGAAATTTATCTATAAAAAAAATTTTTTTTGTTTCCGAAATTTTAAAGTTTGGCAAAAAATTCAAGTGATTTGACATTTTTAGTTTAATTTAATAGTAAAACATTTGAAAATGCACATTTTCCACTAGTAGCGTTAATCGTTAATTGAAAACATAATTAATTACAAAAAAAAATCCATTTTAAAATAATGACGTCATGCTCACGCATGCGCAAATGAAGATGAAACTTTTGCCTCAATTCGAATTCATAAAAAATGAGGATAAAAGAAAAGCACTTGAAGTAATCTGAAATTTTTCGTTGACTTTAGTTGTAAAAAACATTTGAAATTGCACATTTTCCGCAAATTTTATTGATCTCCCCTTCATAACATAATTAATACCGAAAAAATCAATTTAAAAATAATAACGTCATGCTCGCGCATGCGCAAATGAAAGCGAAACATGCGCGTCAATTCAAATTCATAAAAATTCGGATAAAACTAAAGCCCTTGAAGTTTGACGCAGTTTTTTTGTAATCAAACTGACGTTTCACTGGACGAAAAATCAATCTCACAAACCCATAAACTCTCGGGGAATTTGAAACAAAAATGTTACGAATACTCTAGGGAGATCTCGATGATTTCTTGAGACACGATGAGCGCGATCAGCCAGCAGAAGCACCTGCAAAATTATTCAGTGAAAACATCGAGTCCGAACGTCAAGTTTAACCCAAAAAACTTCAAGACACAGTTTTATTCGGAGTACAAAAGATATTGCGGGCTTGACCAATTTATTTCTCCAAAAGTGAGTGATGGATATAATTCGCTGAGTAATTTGTCGTTTTCTATTCGCGAGTGGAAGCGTTTTTATCAATTTCACGTTGGTTTTTTTTTCAAATATGGGAGAATTTCTTACGCGACTATTGCCCATTAATCAGTAATCCATTCCCTCATTAATCATTGGTTGAATTGATCTACTTAGATTCCCGTCATGGATATCGTCAATAAAAAATTGCAGAGTATATCGAAAGGAAGTTGCAGAGTTGAAGAAGGTAATCAATATTTTAATAGCGAATCATTTCGTGGAGACGTATCGCATCTTCTCCGGAATAATTGGAATAAAGCCGGAGATAAATTCGAACAGTGGAACTTGAAACATGATTTTCACCTTCACGATTGAATTAATCGTTGAATGAGTGAACAATTGACGTTATCTCCTCATTTATTCCTGAAAAATTCCACCGACTTGCTCTCGTTTCGAAGGAGTGGATGTAGCTTATGTTTTTTTTTTTTGGTTTCCACTCTGGTTCAGAGAGTGAACTCATAGGAATGCTGTCTAAACAACTGTATCTCGCTGGCAATCAAATGCAGAGAATGCAGACAGTGCTGAAAAAAGCTGAGGAGAGATTGAAATCAAAGGAGCAGGAGATTGAACGATTAAAAAGAAAAGTCTGATTTTTTTATTCTCATAAATTTTTCAACGATTTCAATTCTTCAACAATTTTCAACAATCCTTCAACAATTTTGCTTGAAATTAGAAGAGATTTTGTTAGCGAATGTCTCGATAGGTTTTAAAATATCAGGATTAAAGATCATTCTTTCGATTGAATTGCTCGTTTCCTGATCAGTTCGGGGTTTTTAATGTCAATATTAATTAAGGTGAGAGAGTGGGAGGTGAAAACCCGAAATCAGGAGTCACATTACAAGCGAGAAATGCAAAAACGTCAGTCACAGATTGACAACGCCGAGCAAATCCAAAAACGTTGCATGAGATTCGAAGCGAGAGTCGGTGAAATGGAGGTAAAAGACCGAAAAATCGCCAAAAGCTCCGTTAACGCTTCCCAAATTTCCAGAAATTCCTGGCGGATTATGGGCTAATCTGGGTGGGGGATAATCTATCGAAATCCGGCTCGAAGACCCTCCAACAAGCCTCCAAGTAAATTCGGTGGAATCAAGCCTAAAATGAAAATAATTCCTCAGACTTTTGTGCATTTCAGTGATTTCATAACGAGCAATTATGCCCTGTTGATGGGGAATATTAAGGAGCTGAATTTATCGGTCGGGAAGGATGAGGTGCAGGTGCATCATAACCACGGTTTAGCTTCATTCAAAGTAAACTTGTGATTTGGACTTTTTATTTCAAATGAATGTCACTGTTAAAAAATTTTAACTTCAATTCTGCTCAATTATTCCATGAAAATTCATTGAAATGAGAAAAATTCAGGTAAATATATTTGATATTGATGAATTAATGAATGTTATTTAATTAATATTCATTAATTTCATTGAAATGTCAGTGAAATCATAACTTTAATGATTTTTTAAATTTTAAATCAAATTTAATGTCACTCGAGTGAAAATTACTAGTCAATTGTCCATGAAATTTAATTTTTTTTGTAACAGTGATGTTCAAATATTCGATTTTAATATTTTACATTTACGGAATGATTACGCAATTAACGACTAAATTTTAATTTTCCAAATTTTCATGAAAATTGTGGAAACATTGCACTGATTCAATCAGTCGCCATCCTGCATGACTCTGAAATTCTACAAAAACGGAATTATCGTACAGAAAGGTCGCTTGCGTCCATACACCGATCCCCAGACGCGATCATTTATCCAAGATATCCTAGACGGTTATTTTCCAAGCGAGCTCCAGCGTGATTACCCCAATGGCGTGCCATTCAAGGTCCTTCATTTCCGTCTACTAATTATCGATCTTATCGGCATCATCAAGTTTAAAAAATTCAGGTAGAGGATCACAAGACGGAAATGTATCTCGGTGAAGGTGCTGTTTACCCAGGTCATGGCTATCAGCTCGGTAAAGTATCCCAAATTCGTTCATCGGGTTCGTGCAAAGTTAAGGATCATGATTATTCACCCAAGAGAGTGCAAACACCGAAGCAGAGGATTAACTCTAGCTCTAGTATTCCGAGAATGTCTTTCAGCGCTAGGTGAGAAGGATGAATGGAGGGAATTCGATTTCTATTGAATTTTTATTGAATTTTCTAGTAGTTTTTTGTAGACTCCATTACTTTTTTTTACAGAAAATCATTAGAATTTCATCTTTTTCGATTTTTCATAACTTTTTATTTAGAAAATCGAATGAAAACTTTTAATAAAATTCTATAAAATATTTTTCATTTAATATTTTTATTTCCACGCAGATTAGCTGCCCCAATTATTGAATCGAATCGACTCAAAACAGCTAGAAAATTCAATATAATTCCAATAAAATTGTCCTCTTGAATTCGTTAAGTTCTTCAATACAATTTTTTCATGCATTTTGTTGCCAAATAGGCCCAGTAATGTGGAGTCAACGATTAGAGCTCCTAAAATCCCCTCGAGTGCTAGGTAACCGAAATTTTCTACTCCATTATCTTCTGTTCTTGATTGATTTATAATGAGACCTCGTGATTCTGGAAATACGAAATTCTCTTCATATTCAGTTCATATTTATGCAAACATATACAATTGCATTTTCCCCCAATGCCCTTCAACAACAGATTGGGAGAATCTGATTTATCCGACCTGCGCTCTCAAATTTTGGCATCGCACAATCACAATTGCTCGGACAGTCATCTCCAGTCCCACATAAATGCTGAACTTGCGCTGACAAGTAGATCTGACAAAGTAAACATCGATCTCCCACCAAGATTCGAATTAAAATTTAATTTTCCGGTCCATTTCATAATTTTTAATCGTTCTAGAAAGCTTCGTTGGTCCCTAACAATAACGAGTGTCACCTACACGTTCGCGAACAGTCGAAGTATTTGCATCAAGTACCCGATGCCGCGAAGAACCTTAGATTCAGCAGCTATCGTTCGGCCTTCAACACCTCGTTCAGGTTATCAATCATAATTATTGTTTCCACAACAAAAAATGGAGAAATAATATGTAATGCTCGAGTGAAGTGCGCAGTTATTGCTGAGGAATCGTTGCTGATTCTCATTCGAATTATCGATAATTGCCGGAAAGGCTCGTCAGGTGTACAGCCATTTTCTTTATGTAATCAGATGTTTGAATTATAAATTTTAATCTGATTGTTTCGAGTCTACTAAAGGGAAACTTGAATTATTTTTTTAATCTCCAGTTCATGAGAATCATTCTTTTTTATCTGAAAAGTAGAGAAAATTCTAGTTGACATGCCTTAATTTAAATTAGTTTAAACCTTTCGTTTAACTGAAATCATCATCGAATTATTTATTTCAATTATAATTTTACTGTTTGGAGTGTCTTCAAGCTCACGACCCCCAAGATTAGATACTCAAGGGCAGTAACACGAATGAAAAAAATTTAACCCGTATGAAATTTTTTCATTCGTGAATTCACACATTTATTTCCTCATTCTTCTCGACCTGAAATGCAGAAAAGATTCTAATTAAAATACCGCGATATCAACTCGTTTAAACCCTTTCATCCACTAAAATCATCATTGGAAGATTAATTTCAGCGTTAGAAGTGATTTTAGAACTCGCGCGAGATCTGCAAGTGTCACAGGCAGCAGATGCCAGACAAGACCTGCCTCCAGGGCGGGCAATCGTGACCAGGCCAATGTGGTGAATAAAAACGTTGAATATAAACCCGCGGGGAAGGGCGGAATTAACAAAGTTCGAGGGTCGAAATCTGCGACTATTGAAAAACCCAAAAATGGGGTGAGATCGCAATTAATTTTGAACTCACGAATTGCAAGGAAATTTCATTTTTTTTTTCATCGATGCACTCCTGATAATTTTCTTTGCATTCAGCTTCCGATTGTTCGCGAAATAAATTCACCAACAGGAGAAATTGATGAGCTCCAACTGAAAGTGAGATCGTTGAATGGTGGTACAGTTTATCTGGTGCACGTATCAGCGGACGATAGTGTCTCTCGGCTTTACCAGCTGTTGGATAAAGTGGTGCTGAACTCGAGGAGGCGATTAAAGACGAGTTACAAGATTGTTGTCAGTGGGTAAGCCCAGGCACAATTGTTCTCTGTTTCATCAACGCTTTGCAATATTCAAATGAATCGATTGTCTGGGGTTTTAGATATGCTCCCAGGAGGCTCGATCATCCGGGAGTCTCTCTCAGGGATTACGGAATTTACCGGAACTGTGTTCTTCATCTCGTTAATGATTAAACATGCAAATTGCGCGCAGTAACGTCAACAATAAAAAATAAGTAATTTAACAGTTGATTTGGAAATTAATTTCGTTGATTTTCATTTTTAAATCGAAATGTGAAGTCGTTTAGGTTTTCTTTATTTATCGGATTGATTTATGGTCCCGCTATCAGTCAATTTACGAATATCCTAATTCCCGTTTTTGGACAGCGGAAAATGGCTGTTATTTATCGATCGCGAGTTTTTTTTTTCAATTTCTGGACAGCACATAAAATCACATAAATAAACTTTCACTTCGAATGAACTTGATGAATTGATTGTCTGGGGTTTTAGATGTGCTCCCAGGAGGCTTGATCATCCGGGAGTCTCTGTTGGGGATTATGAAATATACCGGAACTGTGTTCTTCATCTCGTTAATGATTGAACACGAAAATTGCGCACAGCAAGATCTACAATAAAAAAAGGGAAAGGAATCCCCACTAGAATTTTTCTCGCCGTTTTATTTCAGTTTGAGTAATTCAACAATTAAATTTGGAATTAATTTCGTTTATTTTCATTTCCGAATTAAAATGCGAAATCTTGTAGATTTTTTTATTCATCTAAATGATTTATAATTCCCTCATTCCATTTTTTGGAATGAAGGGATCACGAACAAAACACCTGCTATTTATTTATCGGCAGTTGTTTTTTCATTTTCGGACTGCGCATAAAAAGCGCATAAACAATTTATTGCGCACAGTAATAGATCAACAATTAAAAAAAATTGTAACAAATCCGTATCAGAATTTTTCTAATCGTTTTATTTAATTTTGAGTAATTCAACAATTAATTTTGCAATTAATCTCATTCATCTCCATTCCCGAATCGAAATGAAAAATCCCCTAGATTTTTTTTTTATTTATCCGATTGATTTATGTGTTCCACTATCAATCAACATTTACGAATATTCGAATTTCCATTTTTGGGCGTGAAGGGATGACGAACAAAATGCCTGTTATTTATCTATCGGCAGTTTTTTAATCGCCAGAGAGTACATAGAGAGCGAAAAACAAAACCACCACCTTTAATATTTGAATGACAGACAGCCAGATCGATTGCAGCGCTATTTGTTAACGAGTCTATCACTGTTAGCCGCAGGGTTTCCCCCTGTAAAAAGTCGAATTTTCTCGCTCCACATTGGCACTTTAACGAAGTCTGCGAGTATTAGTGGTCATTTCAAGTGCAGGTGGAGAGATAAAAGGCATGGAGAATAGGGGAGAGAGAATGTGATAGGAGAAATAAAAATTGTTGAAAAAATACGAGACGGGGGGTAAAAAATATGTGAGCAGCTCTCGTTAAACGGCATTGATGAACGACGTTTCTATACTATTTTTGTTCCCCGTTTGTTCTGCCTCTCATGCACTAGAATTCCCACTCGATTTCTAAACCATCGTATTCTATTATTGACGACTCCACAAATGATCAGTCGAGCTTAAACTCCGCAAAATAAAATTTCTTTTGTTTTTATTGTTGGAAAACAGGGATATCCTCGCTAGTGCAGGTAATTATTATCGATTGTACAGGACATTTTCTCTGAAATGTTTTCCTTCTCTCACGACTTATTGCATTCTTTATTTAGTTGATTAGTACATCAGCAGCAAAGTGGTCAAATGGTTTAAGTCGACATAGCTCTTAGCTGAGTTTTCTAAGAATATCTCAAAATCTAAGGGAGATAGCTAAATTTTCGTATATATCTTTTTTGAAGCTATCAATGAGCTCTACCGAAAAGGTCATGACAGAAATTTTGCTATCTGCCTTAGATTGCGAGATATTCATTGAAGTTTCATGAGTAGTCAAAATCGACTTAAACCGTTTGACCACTTCGCTACTGAAATAATTCTTGACGATATTAATTCATTAAAAATAGAGAAAATAATTGAATAAAACTTTTGTCATTCCTCATGAGAGGACTAAACATGTGATCGATGGCCTGTCATCCAAATGACAGGTACGAAGTGATGATCTTTCATTCTTCTCCCTCGGGGCAAAAACTTAGGAATGAACTGATGACAACAAATCCTAGAAAGAAAAAGTAAATCCTCAAGACATTTCTAGCGTCTTTTATTCCTCAGGGAGCATGGCAAAACCTTTTATCCACTTTCCGTTAATTCTATGGAGCCGTTTTCTTGGTCCAACCCCCGGCTTCCGAGTGCGTAAAACCGAGAGAAAAATGACGGGACGACACACAAATTGTATGAAGCGATATACTGCATATTACCCATGTGGGTTGAGCGTAAAACTGCTTGATCGATGTTCAGATGATTTATTTCGACACTGACAAAGTACTCATGGAAATGGTTTTCCCACTCTTTTTATTTCCATTTCCTCTCGTTCCCCCTTTTTTTTGCGCTTTTATTTTCACCCAACATTCCTCACGCTACAATTGCACATGATGAAAACAAAAAAACAGCGTGTGTTGTCCCTTGTTGTTGTATACAAGTGGATCCATTTCTGATTGTGCCCATGTGTATATCGGGATGAAGAGTGAGGGATGAATAAAAGATAAAAGGAAAATTGATGGCCAAGTGATCGTTGTGTGTCCCGTACGCTCGGAGGTGCTTTTCCGGTTATTGAATTTCGAGTCGTTAACGCAAATTGATTGGGCAGAAGGTTTGGGAAAGGGAGTGCTCGGACAAGCTTCCTGAATCCACAAATTCAGATATTTACAGTGGATTGAGAGATAATTTTGTGCCATTTTTAGCCTTTTCTCGGGGGGAAAGTCGACTTTCGCCAAAATCGAATTTTTCCGCCGAGTGAAAGTCGATTCTGTATTTTCTGGCCCGCCTAATGCACTTGCCCCAGAAATGCAGAAATAAACATTTTTTTTTTTCACCCGGAGCCAAA